TCCAAAACCACCCAACACTGCTTGTTGTTGCTGCTGTTGTTGGGCACCCAGTCCTAAGCCGTAGCCTCCGAGACCTCCATAAGCGCCAGTAGCTGCTTGTTGCTGCTGTTGCTGTTGTTGGGCACCCAATCCTAAACCATAGCCTCCGAGACCTCCATAAGCGCCAGTAGCTGCCTGTTGCTGTTGTTGGGCACCCAGTCCTGAGCCATAGCCTCCGAGACCTCCATAAGCGCCAGTAGCTGCTTGTTGTTGCTGCTGCTGCTGCTGAGCTCCCAGTCCTCCATGGCCACCGATTCCTGCCTGTTGTTGTTGTTGCTGCTGCTGCTGCTGAGCTCCCAGTCCTCCATGGCCACCGACTCCTGCCTGTTGTTGTTGTTGCTGCTGCTGCTGCTGCTGTCGAGAACCACCAAATCCATGCCAACCTCCAGGTGCACAATGTTGTTGCTGTTGTTGTTGTTGTTGTTGGCCACCAAATCCTCCAAAGCCTGGTTTCCTGTTTAGTAGACCACCAACAAAACTACCTAAATGTCCACCAAATCTACCCCCAGCTTGTTGTTGTTGTTGCTGTTGTTGTTGTTGGTTATGTTGTGGTCGCCGATTATCGCAATCCAAACCATGACCATTAGCGGACAGTACGTTCAACACCGCCATCAACAACAACAACTGTGTCAATAATATACCAATTTTTCTGACCATATTTTTCTTGTTGTTGAATAATTTAAAACTATTATTATTTTATTTAATTTTTTATAAATATATTTTCTTTTAATTTTTAATTAATTCTGTAACCAGTAGTTTCCGGTTAGCTTTATGGCTATGACTTTAGGAACGGTAGGTTTTTTTTACACCACATAAGGTTCTTCAACAACAAAAAAAAGGTATTGAATTTCATTGTGTTTTCTTTCCTAATGATTTTAAGTGATGTCGACAAAAAAAAAGTTGAAATTATTTTTTGTAATATATATATTAAAAAATAAACTATTTTTTAAAATTCTATTAACAATTAAATGTTTTAGTATTTATATATATATAACTATTTTAAACAATTTAATTATTTGTTTTATTATCTATTCTACAATATTATAGTTTATATATTATATATAGTTTTTTAATATTAGATTATTATTAAAGCAAAAAAAATTTTTTTTTAATTAATTACTAACTGTAAGATAGTTAGCTAACATATTGTAAATCATTAAAAATCATTACATACCATATCACTAAATTGCATTAAAACTTTACTTAATAATATACAAAAAAAATAATATTTAAATTATTTTTATTATAGTTTGTTTTTTTTTCTTAAAAAAATTGTAAATATATTTTAATTTATTGATTAATTAATATGATTACCAAAAAAAATTAATATAAATTAATTTTTATTTTGTTTAAATTGGTTTCCAATATTATATATGTCTTTTTAAACTTAAAATTACTTTACATTTATTAATCATTACAGTAATCACTTCAAAAATATTGTAATCTGTATTAAACTCTATGATATGACTATTATTATATTAGTAGTTATTATAATTAATTAATTAATTAAAAATTTTTATAATAAATGGTCAAAAAATAATTTCTAATCAAAATTCTGAATTTGTTTTTAGTTTAAATAATTGCAATTATTTTATAAAAATTTTTTTGTTATAAACAATATACATTTTATACAGTATATATATTTGTTTAAAATAATTTATAAGTTAATTTTTATCTATATTATTATTATTATTATTATCATTATCATAATAATTATAGTTTTATTAATAAAAATTAAATCTCATTTATATGTTTTAAAATTTTTATTATTATTATTATTATCCCATCAATGCAGCTTGTTGTTGTTGCTGTTGTTGTTGTTGTGCATTCAAACCATAGGCTCCGGGACCTCCATAAGCACCAATAGCTGCCTGTTGTTGCTGCTGCTGTTGCTGAGCTCCAAGTCCTCCAAAACCACCCAACCCTGCTTGTTGTTGTTGCTGCTGCTGTTGTTGTTGTGCATTCAAACCATAACCTCCGAGACCTCCATAAGCACCAATAGCTGACTGTTGTTGTTGTTGCTGCTGAGCTCCTAGCCCTCCTAGCCCTCCGAAACCACCCAACCCAGCTTGTTGTTGCTGTTGTTGTTGTTGTTGTTGGGCACTCAGTCCTAAACCGTAGCCACCGAGACCTCCATAAGCGCCAGAAGCTGCCTGTTGTTGTTGCTGCTGCTGCTGAGCGCCCAATCCTCCAAAACCACCCAACCCTGCTTGTTGTTGCTGTTGTTGCTGAGCTGCCAGTCCCGCACCGTAGCCTCCGAGACCTTATTCATAATAAAGACAGATAACATATATAGTTATTATATATATATAAATACCATTAGCCAGAGCTGCCTGTTGTTGTTGTTGTTGCTGCTGCTGCTGTGCACCCAATCCTCCAAAACCACCCAACCCTGCTTGTTGTTGCTGCTGTTGTTGTTGCTGAGCTGCCAGTCCCGCACCGTAGCCTCCGAGACCTTATATATAATAAAGACAGATAACATATATAGTTAGTATATATATATATATAAGATATAATTACCGTTTGCCAGAGCTGCCTGTTGTTGTTGTTGTTGCTGCTGTTGAGCACCCAATCCTCCAAAACCACCCAACCCTGCTTGTTGTTGCTGTTGTTGTTGGGCTGCCAATCCGGCACCGTAGCCTCCGAGACCTTATATATAATAAAGACAGATAACATATATAGTTAGTATATATATATATATATATAAGATATAATTACCGTTTGCTAGAGCTGCCTGTTGTTGTTGCTGCTGCTGCTGCTGAGCACCCAATCCTCCAAAACCACCCAACCCTGCCTGTTGTTGCTGCTGCTGTTGTGCGGAACCTCCAAAACCACCCAAACCTCCATACAGTGCATGTTGTTGTTGCGCTTGTTGTTGGCCACCGCCGAAACCACCGAAACCAGTAGCGGCTACTAGTTTTAACAACAGCGCCAATAATATAACAAATTTCGGCAACATTTTGAATATAATTTTTTAAAGATATATATATATATAACTAATTAATTAGTTTTTTATATATTTTTTAATATATATATATAATTTTATGTTAACCAGTTGTTGCCGACTGGCTATGACTATGGAAAAGGAACGGTATGTTTTTTTTGATGTTTAAATGTCGTCAAACAGTATGATTATAATTACACCATAAGGTTATGTATTGAATTTCATAAAGTTTTTTAAAAAAAACTATTTTTTTGTTGTTGTTGTCGGATGTGACCCAACAACACACACATACAAGTGATGTCGTGTCGACAAATGTGAGACTTATTATTAAAAATAATATATAGTTTTTTTTTAATTATCAATTTCGCCATTTTGTTTATTGATAATTTAATTTATTATTTAATAAAAAAATTTTTTATCATATATATTGTATATATAGATATTTTTTTGTTAACTATCTATATATTAGTGCATATTTTTTGAATAATTAATTTATAATTCAGTTTATATTTAATTGTTTTTTTTAATTTTTTTATTAAATGTAAAAATTGATAACTTATTAGAAAATATAATACATTACTTTTATATATATATATATATATATATTAAAGTGACTAAACTATATAAATTTATAAATATATATTATTTATTATAATTATAATTATTAAATATTACTAACTGCACTATAGTTAATAAAAAAAAAGTTAATTAAATTATTATTAGTAGTAGTATATATATCAGTAAAATGGCGCTTTAGCTAATTAAATGTCATAAAATTTAATATTAATTATAATTAATTGAATTAGTATTGTTAAAAATTGCATTTTATTTCACAATTAAATTTTTAAATAAATAATTTAGGACATTGACAATTTATAAATAACTTTTTTTAAATAAAAATCAATGATCAATTAATATAATCCCACTATTATTATTGATTTACATATTAATTGAATAAAATTTATTTTATATCATAATATTCATATGAATAGTATTTTTTAAAAAAAAATAATTAACTATTGATTAGTTATAAAGTAATTATTCATTTATTAATTAAATTATAGTCATATTTTGAGTCATATTTAATTTAATCAATTTAACAATCAATAAATACATAATAATTTAATTAATTTTTTTTATTATACATTAAATTAGTAGAAATAATATTATTTGTGGGAAAACAATATTTTTTTTAAAAATAAATATTTTATTATTGCTATCCTATTATAACAACTTGTTATTGTTGTTAACGACCTAAAACATCGCCTAAACCTTCTGTTTGAACGGTGACAGCATTAGGTCCTATTGAATAATAATAGAAAATGGGTTAAAATAAAAGGATAATCAAATTAATGGAAAGGTATGTTATGACATAATATATATTTATATTATTAGACAATGATTATGAATACCTTGTGTTGAGCCATTTGGTTGAGCTGTTGTCTGTTGGGATTGGGGTTGGGGTTGTTGAGGTTGGGGTTGGGGTTGGGGTTGGGGTTGGGGTTGGGGTTGGGGTTGGGGTTGTTGGGCTTGGGGTTGTTGAGGTTGGGGTTGTTGAGGTTGAGGTTGTTGAGGTTGGGGTTGTTGAGGTTGGGGTTGTTGAGGTTGGGGTTGTTGAGGTTGGGGTTGTTGAGGTTGGGGTTGTTGAGGTTGGGGTTGTTGAGGTTGGGGTTGTTGAGGTTGGGGTTGGGGTTGTTGAGGTTGGGGTTGTTGAGGTTGGGGTTGGGGTTGTTGAGGTTGGGGTTGTTGGGGTTGTTGGCCTTGGGGTTGTTGAGGTTGGGGTTGTTGGGCTTGGGGTTGTTGAGGTTGTTGGTGTTGGGGTTGTTGGGCTTGAGGTTGTTGGGCTTGAGGTTGTAGCTCAGGTTGGGGTAGAGGTTGGGCTTGGGGTTGAGGTTGAGGTTGAGCTTGAGGTTGTACTTCAGGTTGTGGTTGTGGTTGTGGTTGTGGTTGTGGTTGTGGTTGTGGTTGTGGTTGTGGTTGGGATTGTGGTTGGGATTGTGGTTGTGGTGTTGTTTGTTGTGTTGATTGTTGTGTTGGTTGTTGTGTTGATTGTGTCTCATGGTGGTGATGTTTATGTGGATGACTACCGCCAATCTGTTGCTGTTGTTGTTGCATTTGTTGGCCATCATTATCGCCGAAACCTTTGATCACTTGCTGTTGCATCTGTTTCTGAAAACCACCGAAACCGCCACTTTGTTGCTGCTGTTGTTGTTGTTGGCCACCAAATCCCGATTGAAATTGCATTTGCATTTGACCCATTGGTTGCATGGGTGCCCCGAAACCGTGTCCAACCAAACTTAAGACCAACACCATAGCCAACAATGATAGACCCATTTTTGTTTGTTGTTATTGTAGCTCTGGGTTAGATATTTAAATTTAGTTAAATTATTTAATTTTGTATAAATATATATAAACTATACTTTTATTTAGCTTTTATTATAACAACAATTATTTTTTTGAAGTTTAATACTATGCCTATTGACTAATAGAGATAAACTAAGACTGAAACTAGCATTTAATGGTTAAAAAGATTTTTAAGGAGAGACAGACCATAAGGTACTTAAAAAAAATAATTGTATTGAATTTCATTAGTTTTAATTACAATTATAATATTTTTTTTTTGACTGATTTCATCAAAAACGATTGACGTTAATAATTGCTTAATTATATTTAATTTAAATTATTGAAAAAATATTAATCAATATAAATTAGTAAAAAAAAAGTTTAGGGTTAAAATTTAGTAGTTTACAAATGTTTTATTATTATTATTTTTTAAAATTTATAATCAATTTAAACTTATTATTAAAAGTAGTATGTTATTTGAATTATTTTTTATTAAATACTTTTTAAATATAATATATAATCTATTATATATATATATATTAATTTATATACTGTATTTGGAAACTATAAGAGTACTTGTATATGTAAAAAATAATTTTTAATTTAATTACTACCTATACTATTTTTTAACAAATTTTAAATTATTAAAATTATTTTGTATAATATACTCTATATTATATATATATTTTATTTACGTTTTACATATTTAATTGAAATTATTTGATGATTTCAATGTAATTGTATCTTATATTAAATTTTACCGTATAATACTGTAATTTAACAAATGTTTATTAAAATTATAAAATATAGTTAAACTAATTTACATTTTTAGATCTTTTTTTTGCAATTATTAATAACTTTTTATTTTTTATAATTTAGTGATAAAATATATAGAATTTTTAAAATATAAACAAATTAAAATACTTTCATTTAATTTGTTAATTTAAATAATATCTACTAATAATTTGTCTTAATTGTCAATTTTTTCTTGTATTTTATAAGTTTGCAGATTATTTTATATCTAAAATCTAGAATTATTTATACAAAAATTATTTTATTATATATATATATATGTTAAATGTTACCAAATGTTTTGCAAAAATAAAATAATTAAATTATAATTAAACAAATATAACTTTATATCGATTAGTAATTTAGTAATGAAAATATCCTAACAAAAAAATGGCTAATAAAATATGTATGACAAGTATTGATAGCTTTATATACTAGTATATACTGTGTGTGTGTGTGTGTGTGTTGTGTGTGTGTGTGTGTGTGTGTGTGTGTGTGTGTGTGTGTGTGTGTGTGTGTGTGTGTGTGTGTGTGTGTGTGTAATATATTGTAATCTATAAACTCTCTGATAAAAGGTAATGGCTTTTAAATGGATGGATAGGTGTAGGTGTGTGTTGAGTGACAGATGAGATGCGGTATATGAGATGATTGTTGTATTATCTCTCTTTCTCTCTCTCTCTCTCTCTCTCTCTCTCTCTCTCTCTTTCTCGCTCTCTTTCTCTCAATTAATTGTCAATAGGATTGATAGTCGCATACAATAGAGAGCACCGTTAGATGGATGAGAGAGCACAGTTACCATAATAAAATACAGTACAGTATATTTAGACAAACTTTTGAAAACTCTATTGGGATTCAATATTCAAACAGTCTATACTCTATGTCTATGCAATGAAACTCTCTAATGAAAATAATTTTTATTTTCTATACAAAAATCTATAGCAATATATATAAAAACCTGGTTTAAATAATATATTGTAATGTTATTAATGTTATTAATTAATTATTATAATTAATTCATGCAATTTTAGTTTTTAGATATATATGTAATTTTGATATACAATTAATATACCTATTTTTGTATAACTATTTAATTTATAAAATATAAAAATAATATAGTATTTAAAGTATTTAAAAATAATACAAACTGTTTGTATTCAAAAATTTATAAATTTCTTTGTCTTATTAAATCAAAATTTATTTATTTAAAATTAAATAAACAAAACTATATATATATATTTTTTAAAGGTTTCAAATTATTAAAAAAGTTTTTTTTAGTTTCATTTTAATAATTATAATAATAATTGTATAACATATATATATTATTAATAGCCATAATTAAGCAATCAACTAAACGGTATTGTATTACTAAATACTATAATTTATTTGCATATAATAACAATAAGCACTTATCTTAGGTTTTTATTTTATTTTTTTGTATAGAAAAGCAAAACAAATATCGTTAAACAATAAACATAGCAATGATAATAAAATTAGAGGCTTTCAATTGTAATATATAATATATATATATATATATATATATATATATATATATATATATATATATATATATAYAGTATATACTTTATATGTATAATATTTATATACATTTACATAATACATATAAGCAGTTTATATATATATAATATATATATAGAGCCTATAAATAACTTAAAATTGCTAATATTATATACATAAAAATTGATTATACATTTCATTGTAGCCATTATTAGACTCATAATTTAATATTCAAAAACATTTATCATCGGTTTTATTAATATTATTATTTTTTATTATTATTACTATATAACAAAATTTTTCTCTAATAATGAATATAAATTCAATAGTTTAGTCTATGCCCTAAACGTTCAATAATTTTTTGTTGTTGATATATATATATATATATAGATTATACATAATAAAAAAATGTATTTTTTAATATTAAATATTATATAAAATATCATTTTTTATTTATTTATCAAACGATCAAATTATTATTAAACAAAAACGTATTAATTAAATGTGTATATCTTTTTTATATATCTAATACTATGTATTATATATTAATATTAGCGTCTAATGTATCTAATAAACAGTATAAATATATTATATACAATATATCTATGTGTTGTTTAATTAGTTTTGTAATATATACAGTATATATATTAAATACAGAGTTCAAAAAAAAAATTTCGGTCAAATTTATTAATTAAATCTATATATATATATTTGTTTATTACATTTAAACAGTGTAAATTAACAAATTTTTAATATTATAAAAAACTTATCAATAATATTTAATATACAATAAAATCTAAATGATTACCAGAATAATTAAATAATTTTCAAAAATCTATTTATTTATTTTTTTTATCAAATATGATTAATAAAGTTTTTCTAGTTTTAAATGTTAATTTTTGTACAAATTTATTTTTAATTTTACAAATAAACAGAAATATATAATTTTTTTTAATAATAAGATATAAAATACAACTACAGAGAAATATAGATTTAATTGTAAGTTTTAAATGTATTGTTTTTTTTATAAAAATATATATTTATATAATTTTGTCTCTTTTTGCTAATCATCAGTCTGTAGTTAAATGGAGATAAAAAAAACTTTGTTTTTTGTTTTAAGGGCTGATACCTAAAATACCACCAGTTTTTAGTGTATGTGTGTGTGTGTTGTGTTGGTATCTGTGGTGTTATTTAACTAATATATTAAATATTCATTTGCTTTTTGGGCTACAAAAAAAATTACATTAATAAAACCAAACAACAAAAAAAACAACAATCAAATGCTCAACTAATTAACATTAATGTTATTAATGGTGAATGTATTTTATATGATATTTAATTACATCAAGTATTAAATATGTATATATAAAAGCCTAAAAAGTCATAATAATAATAGTTGTAATAATCGTATAAAATAGATACAGTAATCTTATTATTATCATTATTTAACCTGGAGCATTATTGAAAAAAAATATTAGATTAATGTAAAATAGTTATCATATTTTAATTTTTTTCAAAAATGATACTAAATTTTATTTATTTAAAAAATATTTGTAAAGTATATATATATATATGGTATATATATTTTGTTGTTGTTGTTGTTGATAATGTTGGGTAAAAATTATTATTTTTATTGAATAATTCATTGATTTTTTTTTGAAAGTTAGTCGCAAAGATCATAGTTTCAAAAAAATAAATAAATAACCGGAAACTATCATATTTTTCAGTACTTTATATATATATATATAAAATGTTAAAACAATTTTATATTTTTTTGCTTAAACTTTCAAACATTATTCACTTTATATACAATATATAGTAATATCATTTGTATTACAATTACATTTATTATTATGTTTTAAGTTTAGAAAGATTATATTTAGATTATACTATATATATATATATATATATATATATATATATATATATATATATATATATATATATATATATATATATATATATATTTAGCATTATATTTATTTATAAGTAAATTTCATTTCTCATTGGTTTTTGCTCTTTTAAAAAAACTAAATAAAGAAAATAAAATATATAATAATTTTCTTTGAAAAAAATTTGAAATAAAACTTAAACATTTGACTTTAAATTTTTTGGTGTAAATTAGATTAGAAAAACTCAAAAAACGTGAAGTGTTTGAACAAATCGTTATTATCATTAATTTTGTCGATACACTACTACTACTACTACTATTAGTAGTAGTAGTAATAGTAATAGTAGTAATAGTTATACCTAACAAAAAAAACTATCAGTTTTTAATAAAAAAAATAGATTTTATTTTAGAAATATTTTGTTATTTAATAGAAATTTACATTTTTTAAAAAAAATATAACACAAAAAATGTTTTAATCGAAATTTGCAGTAAATTCTAGTAATTATTAAATACTATTATTAGTTATCAATAAAATTAATAATTAATTGAAGTTAATTGAAGCTATATTTAAGTTTATTATTTAATAAATATTAGTTTTATTTATATAACAAAATTATTTACTAAAACTTAATTTTTTTTTGAAAAAAGTTAATTTCATTGAAAATTTGTATAAATAAAAATTTTATTTAAAAACTACTCACACAATACATTTCAATCATATTTTATATATTTTTATAGTATTTTCTTATAAAGAAATAAACTTTTTATCATTTCATTGAATTTCATTTACTTTCAAAATAATTGTATCACTTATTTTATCAAATTTTAGATATTTATAATTTTTTTTATTAATAATTTTTTTATACATTTTAAAAAACATATTTAATATTTATATCGTAATACTGAGCACTAAATAATTTATTTATTTATATTTAAAAGAAATTTTATTTCAAAATTTAATTTTAAAAGTAATTTATTTATATATATAACTTATATTTATTTATTTATTTTTGTTTCAAGTCATTTCTTTTTCAAAAAAAAACAAAATAAAATTAATTGCAAAAATTAAAATTTTTCAAAATGTGTGTATAATATACAATATATATTTATATATATTTAAATATATTTAAATACAATATAAAAGCATTTTAACTTAAATACATTACAATTTGCAAAATGTGATTAAGAAAATGCATAATTAAATTAATTGTTTGAAAATTGCATTCAAATATATTGTTTGTTTTGTTTATTTTGTTTGTATGACTGTGTTATATATAAATTAAATTGTTTTTTATTTGAATTTATTTTAACAATCTATTAGTTGTTAATATAATATTAAACCTGAAATTTTTAATTATATATATATATTTTTTCTCTCTCTCTATCTATCTTTTATTCAATACAAATAAATAATCACTTATACATCTCATCTATTCAATGTGTATATATGTTTATATATTAAAAGTTTTAATTATTAGTTTAAATTAAATTAAATAAATAAATAAAATGTTTTTAACAATTGATGGTTTTTGAAAAATTTTAGGCACAATTAATGATTGTATTTTTTTTAACAATGAGTTTAACAATTCATTGTTGTATGTATTGTGTATTATATATATGATAATTATGTTTTTAGTTTTTCATTTTATTTTGTGGTACAATTTATTTGAGATGATTTAAAATGCTTGTTATGAAATAAATAATATATAATTTAGTATTTAATATTATGAAATATAGTGATTGCTTATATTGATTAATAATTACTGTTTAGATAATATGTGTATACTGTATGTTATCAATATATATTTTATGTGTGTGTGTGTGTGTTTTATATGTGTGTATAATATACATAATGTTTATCACAATTTTCACCAAATTTTTATTATAATATTATTATTATTGATTAATAATTTATATAACAATATATATATATATACAGTATATAATACTGTATATAAGTTTAATTTGTATATTATGTACAATAAATTATCTTATAAATTAATGACATATAATTTTGTATGTTATGCAATGTATGGTAAATATATATGTATATATAATTTTGTAAATTAAATGCAAACTTTTTTTTATTGATGATATTATCATATTATAGTGTTGTTACTGTGATTTTTTTATGTTTAAAAACATTATAATATAATCAAAACTTATTATTTTATTTTTGAAATAATAATATTAAAAAAAAATCCCATCACACACTGTTAGACCAATTTTATCTTTAATCATGTTTTATACTAATAATAATAATAATAATGATAATAATTATATAAATAATTTATATAATTTTTCATTTGAAAAATAAAAATGAAATAAATTAATAATAATTTTTTTGTGTAATTATAACTACATATTAATATTAATAATAATAATAATAATAATAACAAATAGAAATATATATATATTTATGTATTAATATATTTTTATTTTAAAGAGTAGTAGTTATAATAATAATAGTGTTTTATGAATACAAATGTCGCCATAAAAGCAATTGAAGTGCTATTGTTGTACATAACAGTTGCGGATATACTGTAAAAACTATCGGCGACCACAACAACAACGATGACGATGAAGAAGTGGCTATAAATATATATATAAATAAAAATAATGACACAAAATATATATCATATATATCAACAACAATGTACAGTATGGTTCAGTAATGATAATATTTTTATATTTATAAGAGAGTATTAAAAAAAACAGTAACTATTATATTAAGTGATAGTTGTGGTGATGGTGTTGATGTTGGTGGTGGTGGTAGTGATGTAGGTATTTATATAGTTGGGGGTGTATGGAGAGGGAAAGGTATGTCTTATGTTAGTAAAAAGGTTACAAACCTTGATGATTCAATAGTGGATAATAATTTTTTTCGTAACTATTTTCTCTATACTGTTGTTGTTGTCTATTGCCATCAAACAGCTCTTCATTAGACATGGTATACATCCTAGAGATGGTCGCTTCCCGGAGACAACAATAACAACAACATATAATTTATATATATATATCACAGTTTATTATTATTATTATTATAGATATAATTTATATATAAAGTAATAAAAAACACTTTTTAACACATACTCTCTCTCTCTCTTTCTTTCTAAAAACAAAACAACTATTAGATAACATAGCACTCTATGTTATGGCTTATGATATCTCTATCCATATATTTATATCATATCTCTCTCTCTCTTTCTATATGTGTGGTCATGTAGTGTGTGTTTGGTGTGATATATGTGTGTCACTAGAAAATACTATTAAAAGGTTTTTATATATATAAAAAAATATCAATAGATATTTTTTTCTATAAAAAATGTTGTTTTAACTAAACTTTTTATTATTATTATTATATAACATGTAATATTTTCTAATAAATTTTCTGCTATTTTCTATATTAATATACAGTATATATTATATATATATATATATATATATATATATCAATATATATATATATATATATATGCTGTCCTAAATATTGCCTGTATTTATAAATGATAAATATTTGTGTGTGTGTGTGTTATTTTTGTTGGTATTATTGCAATTTTAGTTGTTTTCGAGTTTGCCTTTAAGTAAATTTTATTTATTTTTAAAAACATATATATATATATTAAATAATATATATATATATATATATATATAAATTCTATACTAATGGTGTGTAAACTATATTGTCATTATGATTAATAGTGTTTATCATCATTTTTTACTATACAATAAAAAAAATACAAAATGTTTTTTCGTTGCTAATATAATAAATTATTATATCAAAATTCATATATATATATATACTAGTATTCAATATATAATAAAAATATATAGTAGTAGTATATTATATATTACTGTATATTAAGTCATGTTTGTCATAATGATTGTCTGGCAATTTGCAAAATGACATGACCTACCGGTGCATTTTAACTTCATGTTTCCTGATTGAAAATGCTCCTCAGTTACTGTAAAAATAATAATAATAATAATAATAATAATAATATTAGTAATAAAAGATATTTATAGATTGAAATTATGCATTTATAATGTAAATATGCAAATAATATTTTTTTTTTAATAAATATATTTATATAAATATATCAACTCATTATCATAGATTAACAACCAGTAAAATAAAATTGATAGCAAATTTTTTTTGCATTAAAAAAACAAAATTATAAATCAAAAAAAAATTTGTGCAATACTGTTTTTATTATTATTATTAATATTGATATTTGGGTTGCAAATTTTCATATTAAATTTTATATATATATATGTATATATAATGTGATGTTAAAGTGAATTAATGCTAAAATAGCCATAAAAAATATTTACTACAAAAAAAATTTGTTAGTTACTTAGTTATAGGTTTTTATACAGTATATATATATACTGTATATTTATTATATTTAATAACTTGTATTATATAATATTTAAAGTAAAACTGTGTGTATGTTTTTTTTTATTTTGCAGCAAATGTTTCAAAAATTGGATAAATATCATATCATATATATATATATATATATATATATTTAGTGTATATATTGTATATATATAATATATATATATAAAAGTATTGATGTTTATCTGCAATGATGTTATTAACATTGATTGAGTCATAAATAGACTGATAGTAAAACCTAATACTATTAAAATTTATTCATGAGATCTCAACTCTCAATAGGTGTACCTCTTTTTTTTTATATACAGTATATATTTTGTTGGCTCAAAAAATATAGTTTTTTTATTTATTAAATTCAAGAGATTTTCTTTTATATATATAAAATATACTGTAGTTATATTGGATTTAAATTTTGTGTTTTCTCTCCCTCTCTCTCTCTCTCTCTCTCTCTCTCTCTTTCTCTCTCTTTATCGTAAATAGACTTTTTTTTCCTTCACTTAAGTGTAGCAGAAAAAAACATAGTATACTGTATATACCGGTATATAGTATGTATGTATATTAGTCTACAGTATAGCTAAATATTCAAATTTTTTTAGATTATTTCCCATAAGTGGAAGTCAAACGACGGGTATTATATGTTTGTTAGAAAGAGAGAGAGAGAGAAAAAAAACTCAATCTCAAGTGTGTGTGTGTGTGTGTGTGTGTGTGTGTGTGTGTGTGTGTGTGTGTGTGTGTGTGTGTGTGTGTGTGTATGTAAGTGCCTATAGATTGTCTATACATTTATGACAAATTTTTATTTTTGTTTTACTGTTATTAATTTAAACGCTAATCCAAACCGTCTTTTGTAGGTCTAATAGTAAAAACAAAGTATATATTTTTACTTTTATTTTTTAAATCGATATCTTATATTATTTTATATATATATATATATATATATATATATATATATATATATATATATATATATATATATATATTGAATATATATATTTTAAAATGAAAATAAATTTGAATTATATGATAATATGTTGTATAATAGTCTGGTATAATAGTATCTCTCAGTTTAGCAGTCAAACAGTTCACTGATTTTTTTGTTTTGTTGAAATTGAAATAATAATAATAATACTGTACTTAATAAAACTACTACTGATAGATAGTACAGTATATATATATATATATATATAAAGATTTAGACAAATTTATATTGAGCTTATAAATTGTCTTAACTGTTATTATTATTTTTGTTTATTAAAATTAATGTCACTCTTAGGATCAAATTGTGCTAAAAAGCAAATTTATTTTCATGTGTATGTATGAGTGTGTGTGTGTGTGTGTGTGTGTGTGTGTGTGTGTGTGTGTGTATGTATGTGCGTGTGTGTGTGTGTGTGTGTGTGTGTGTGTGTGTGTGTGTGTGCATTGCGCGAGAAATTAAATAAAAAACAGTTTTTTATTATTTAACAAAAATTATATATATATATATATCTATGCGTTAATGACATCTAATATAACTTAATTAAGACAACTGGTGAAAGTATTCATTATTGAAAATAATGATAATAATACTGTAATAATAATAATAATAATAATATAGTAGTATAACAAATACTATACCGATTTATTAAAGGGTATAAATCATTAAATAATAATTATTATTTAATACAATATTATACAGTATTATATAGAGATGTGTAAATAAAAATTAATAACCAGAAAAGGTATTCAATAATATAAATATTAAAATACTAATAATTATGATATACTATAATATTCTAATAAATTAATATAATATATATACTGTATATAAATTTATATATCAGTTATGTATTTTATATTTACCGATAAATCTGAGTCCCAGTGTTGATGTCTCCAAACCATTGGAGTGAACGGTAGTATTGGAGGCAAACTCGTACTTATTGTCGGCCTATAATCAGTTGATAATAAAAATTAATTTTTTTTTTAAAATGTTTGTTTTCGCAATACATTTACTAATTAAAACGAAAATTATATATACATTTTTTTTTTAAAAAAACATAGTATAGCTATACATATATTTTTTTTTAAAAAATTAATTCACTCAAAGTCTAACACGAAAAGCGTTAATAATAATGTATTAAATTAAAATGAATTATCGCTTAAAATTATTTTTTATTTTTATTTTTTTTTGGTTAATTAAAAGTTTAATTTACCGATTGTTCATTAATGTACCAACGTAATAGTGCCGCTATATATATATACATACATATATATAGACATAAATATATGCATATATATATTGTATATACAGTATAAATGTATGGTTGTGTTTGTGTTGTATAAATAATAGGCCGCCAAACCATTTGGTGTAATTGATTTAAAATGCATTAAATTAATTAAAAAAAAAAATTTTATATTATAATTATTATAATAATAATAATAATACTAAAAACTAATACTACAGTACAAACCGGGTTTGCTTTTAGCTGATATACAGTTGAGTTCAACAAGACTTCCCACATTATAATTGGCTTTACTGCCGGTAATCTTTGGCCCTTCACTCGGAAGCACTGGTAGATAGTAGTAGTAGTAGTAGTGGTGATAATAATGGACGACAACAATTGGTGTGTCCGACCATTTTTTTTATTTGTTAGACATTATTATTCAATGCTTATTACTATTTTATTAGCATTATATTCATTCATTCATTCATTCATTCACTCACTCTCTCTCTCTCTCTCTCTCTCTCTCTCTCTCTCTATCTCTCTTCAAATAACAGTTGGATTTTTCTTAATTATCTCTAAATACATAACACCACACATACATACATAAGCACACACATACATAACACACACACACACACACACACATCCATACATAAGCACACATCCATACATAAGCACACACATACATAAGCACACACACACACACATCCATACATAAGCACACACATACATACATAAGCACACACACATACATACATACATACATAAGCACACACACAGATTGACTGACTGAATGTAATCAATTGTACTATCAATTTGCCATTCATTTGGTATATACTGTATATATCATCCATGAATAGCACCGGCATCTCATCACATCATCATCACTGCATCACTCACTGGTAGTTAATTAATCATTCACTTACCAAATACCTGAAACAAATCATCAATTAAAACAAGTGTTAAATTCCGGTGAGAATTCAAGTAGTATTAGTAGTAAAAAGATAATAAATAATTTGCATAAAATTGATGCTAAAAAAATAATTGTTTTTTTTGGTGGTTCTCTATGTAATGTAAATTAGAAAAATTTAACGTATTTTCTTCCAATATTTTTTTTTATTTAAATAATTGATAACACATTTTTGTGTGAGACTTATATAATAAATTTATAATGTTGTTGTTAGTATTAAGTTTATAATTTAATTAAAGTTTTTTTTTTGTGTTAATGATGATAAAAATTTGACTACTTTTTTTTTGGGGGGGGGGAGGGGGTGAGTCGTTGTTTTTAATTAATAAATTTTGATTATATAATTCAATGGCGACAATATTAATAATAAATATAAGTAATATTAATAATTATAGTATAAGTAATACTAATAATAATATTTAAATGTGTTTATATCATACATTAGAGAATTATCATTATATATATATATATATTACATAATTTATTTAATTTACAAATGTGTGTAAATTTTTTGTGTGTGTATTTACATTAAAAGCACATAATAATAAAAATCTCATTTTTGATATATTAGTTTTTATATATAATTTATATTATTTTTTTTGTTTAAAACAAAAAACTAATAAAAACAATTGACATTATTCTAGTGTTACTTATATTGTCACTGATAATGATATCAATTTTTATTTTGCTAACACAAAAAAAATCAATTCAAATGGGATTTAGAGTTAGATTTTTTTTCATTATTATTATTATTATTCAAAGGCTACCAATTTTTTTTTTAAAAAGGCTTACAATTTTTGAGCGACAAAAGTCCGATAAAATAAATTTTTTATTTTACTAATCAAGTATTAAGCGATAAAACAATAATATAATATATTGTGTCTGATGTTGTGTGAAACAAGTTTTTAATTAATTTTAATATTTTTTATTTTATAATAATAATAATAATAAAAACTAAATAAATAAATAAATCTAAAACTTTATATAATTTATGTATGTATGTGTTTACATACATTGTGTAGTATATCAACAAAAATAAAAATAAAACACAAATTTTGTCATAGATTTTATTTATTCATACATATAATAATTTTCTATACTATAAGTACAGTACATAACTATATATATATATTTTGTTTTGTTTTTTTAGTGTTTTTAGTGTTTTTGTTTTACTGTTTGCCTTATTATATAGTTTTCTGGTAAATAACTAAACTTTGATTTTATCGGATCAGAAAAGCGATAGTTTTATCTCAAAAACTTTTGCTTCAATTTTCTCACTCATTCATAGATTTTTTACTTACTCTCTCTCTCTCTCTTTCTCTCTCTCTCTCTCTCTCTCTCTCTCTCTCTCTCTCTCTCTCTCTATCTCTTTCTCTCTCTCTCTCTCTCTCTCTCTAACCATTCAATGTATTGCTAAATAACATCAATGAGAGTTAAAGAGTAAACTTTATATATATATATATGTGCTATAACTTATATACTCAAATAGTATGGATGGATACTAACCATATAAGCTTTATATATCATTACATATATTATATATACGGTCTATAACAGTATATATACATCTTTAAAAGCTCAGTCTATTTATGGAAAGTTAGTATTTTTTTTAAAAAAGATATTTTTTATTTTGAGTTTAAAACTAAAGTGAGTGCCAGTAAGCTATATATCTATCGTTTTTGATGATAGTATGGATTTTATACATAAATTTCTCTCTCTCTCTCTCTCTCTTCAACTTTTACTATCATCTTTAACCATCGATTATGTGTAAAATTTGTTGGCAATTATTATAGTATTTTGTTTGATATTTTACACAAACATAAAAAACTTTACTTATTTTTTTTTAGAAAAAAAATTGAGAAAAAATAGATATACTTTAGTGATATACAGTTATTTGTTGGTCAGGTATTTGTTGCACACATATAAATACAATATATTACATACATATCATAATACAGTAGTTTTTTTTCATTATTTATTTCAAAAGCCCTATCAATGACAGACACAATAAGTCTACTATTTGTACCAAAAAATATAAACTTTATATATATATATATATATTTTCCATACAATCTCTTTATCAAATTGTCTGTGTATTCAAAATAATTATATAATAGTTTTGGATGAAAAAAAATTCAATTTTTTTTTTGTAAAAATATATATATATTTCTCATATCTTTTATGTATATAAATCTTTTTTATTTTGTTATGTCATTCATTATTGTTGTTGATATTCAATGGGTACTCAATATATATATACATAAGCAGTACATAATATATATATATATATAGAAAAAATTGATCACAAAATACAAAAAAAATAAAATAATATTAAATTAAAACTTACTTTCATTTCTTTGAATTCCTCAATAGTAGTAAATTCTTGAGCGATGAAAATGAAATTAATAGTAATAATAATAATAATAATAAAATAGTGGTAATAATGTTAGTAACAACAAAAAAATAAATAAATAACTAAAATAAAAGACAATAAAAATATTTTTTGTGTAGTAATTCAATGATTACCCGGAGCTTCGGCAGACACCTCGCATCTGTGCAAATAAATAAATAATAAAAAAATAATATATAAATATATACACATAAAAATAAGATGATAATAATAATAATACTATAGTAGTCTAAATAGTAGTTAATAAAAATAAAAATAATTGTAATAAAAGAAAAGCAAAATAACTAGTACTCGACAATATTATAGATTAGATTAGATTTTTATTTAGTTATTAAGTTATTTGAGAGAAAATTAACTTAAATTCCTAAGGATTAGACATATATTTATATTTATACAATTCAGTGACCAAATTGTCAGGATTTTAGGTCATTAAGTGCTCTCCAATTATCATAGATTCAACATTATTTTGTTGTTAGTTTTTTACTAAATATAATAATAATAATAATAAAATCAATACTAAAATAGTAGAGAGAGAGAGAGAGAGAGAGAGAGAGAGAGAATATTCTGTACATATTATATATATAAAACTCACTACTTTTATGGGATACCATATAATCCATATGTATGTATGTATTTATGTACAGTAGGTATGTATGCATTATATAATAAATATATGTAATGTGTGTGTGTGTGTATTGAAAGCAAAAACAAAATAATAATAATAATAATAAAAATCTATTTTATCATTTATGTATGGTTTGTTATTATTTGTTATTATTTGTGTTTTATTTTCTCTTATTTTTTTGTTAAAACTACTACACTGTTTCAAAGTTAATAATAATAATAATAATAATAATAATATAAAGATTAATCAATAAAAAGCACTCGAGTCTTAAATATGATGTTTTATTTCATTTTAATATTGATATTTATCCCAACACTATATACAGTAGAAATTCTGTAATAGTTAAGTAACAAAACTCTTATATAACTATACACTCAATATATTTTATTATATATATATTTAGCTGTATTAAGTTTTATATTGTATAATATTTATATGTTATATAATCGACAGTACAGTTAGTTAGTTAGTTAGTGGGTATACTTATATACAGCCGATACACACACACATACACATACACATACATACATACATAATGGGCACATACCATATGAATGGTATGGCTTATTAAAATATATATATAATATCAAATACTGTATATCCGTATAGTTGATATTAAATACACAATAATATAGTTATTATAGAAATATTTCATTTTGTTGTTGTTATGTGAGATACAAATGACTGAATAAATATAAATAAATGAATAGTTTTTTTTGGTGCAAAAAATTACATAAAACTCCAATTCATTTAATAGACTTAATATCTATAATTAAGATAATATTGTGTAAGTACTGTATGTATATATATGTGTGTGTATGTGTGTGTGTGTGTTATTGATATATGATTTATATATAATTTTATATATTTATAAAATATTTTAATATAATTTTTTGTTTGTTTATTTTATAGTAGAGTACAGTTATTTAAAAAACAAAAATACAGTAAATCATAGATTTATTATTTAAAATAAAACTTAAATATTAAAAAACTTTATAACAAAAATAGAAAAAATAGTTTTTTTTTTTTTAAAAAGTAAATGTTATTTATATTATATAGTACTTTATATTGATTTATCTGTAAAACTATATATTTTTTAATATACTGTAAACAAAATTACACCAAAAAAACACAATGCAATTAAATTACAATTTATGTTTTTTTAGTTTTATTGTACAATAAAGTTATTATAATAACAACAACAAAACTATAATTTTATAATTTAAATACAACAACAAATGATTGATAGACATCATTGATATTTTAAATCAATAAAGAGTTTAAAACCTGGGCTTAACTTTTTATATATATATTAGATCATTATATATAATATTTATATATATTGTCTAAACATTAATAGTCTAAAGTATTAAATAATTCCACAAATTGTAGTCTTTATTACTTAATAAATATATAAATAACAAAATAAAATTAAAGTCTAAGTAAAGAGTCTAACTGTAAGAGAGAGAGAGAGAGAGAGAGAGAGAGAGAGAGAGAGAGAGAGAGACTAACAATTGGAGATAGAAATGGTTTACATTTTTATTATTGTTTTATTTCTTAAAAACAAAAAAATATATATAATTTATTATATCATTTTTTAAGAGTATAAGTGTTTATATCTAATGTTTATATACATTATATTACATATCGTTTATATTATTATTATTATTATTATACAATATTGTCTGTTATAGCTTACAATATGTTGTGTGTGTGTGTGTGTGAATTGATGGACAAAATTGAATGAAAACATAAATTTATTTCAACAATAATATGATGATATTATTATTATATATATATATATATATATATATATATATATATATATATATATATATATATATGATGTCTATAAATGTTTTTTTGTGCCTTTAGTTTTACTAACATTTTTTCTGTAGTTTTATTTTTAAATACATGTGTTTAAATAGTAAGAGAAAAGTATATATATATATATATATATATATATATATATATATATATATATATATATATATATATATATATATATATATATTTCATTGAAGAAAAAAACACAATAAATCAAAATTTACAAAAAGAGTCGCTTAAACTTTAATGTAAAGTATTTATTATTATTTTCAAGTCAAAAGTGCCATCAATTTTGAGTAAAAACTTATAAATAGGTTTTTTGTGTTAAAAATAATATTTCCTACTTTTATTTATTTTAGTTTTTTTGTTGTATTTTTCTATATCTATATATTTATTTGATTTGTTATCTGTTGTAACAAATAAATGTTTTGTAATAATAATAATATATTACTAATATTAATATAATAATTCAATTGAAATAAATAAATATATCCTATTATTGCTATCTATTTATCTATGTGTGAATATAATTTATTATTATTATTATTATATAACATTAATTTATTATAACAAAATAGCTTATTGTTTTTTGAAAATAAAATAATTATAAATTATACTAAAAATATAGTCCAATAATTGTTTGATAAATCGTATATTATAAGTGAATATCAATTGTTTTATTACACTATTATTAACAATTAATTTCTTTTTCTGAAAATAATAAAAATTATAATTTTTATACTATTATTATTATTAATTATCACATAATAAGCAAAACACTAGATTAATTAGCAATAAATATCAATATATTAAAATTTTTAAAATACAATATAAACTAATTAAAGTATAACATTACTGCTTTACTGTATATATATATATATATACCTGTACTGTATATTCAAAACTATAAATTTTTTTTAATTTTTTTATTAGTATAGTGTTTGGCTATGTTTTGAAAACTTGAATGATTGATAAATATTTGTATCACAGAGTCATTAGTAGTGCTCCGCAAACATTACTATTTATTTATTTATTTTTTGTTTTTATTTGTTTGATTTGTAATTCATTTGATGGCCTAAAACACTATATCATTGCCTCTCTATCTCTTACTCTCTCTCTCTCTCTCTCTCTCACTCACCCACTAACTCAGTGTTGTTGTTGATGTAGTCAATGATGAAAAAATCTAGTCTTACTTTTTTTTGGTTAATTGCTTGTAATTTATTTTTATGTGAATCTTATGTGGTTTTGATATTTATATAAATTATATATCTATATACTATATATATATATAATAAATAAGTATTAATATACGTTTATAGTGTGTATTAGTTTAAGTACTAAAAAATTATATATAATAATAAATCAATAGTTAAGTCGATTAACTACTTATTACTAAAGTATTACTACTATTAACTATAACTATATATTAAACTTGTCTACTGATTACTAAATTAATATCAGATTTTTTTTCTATCGTCAAAAAAATGTATTTTTAATTTAAGTAAAATAAAGATATCATATTAAATATTATATATTAAATAAATATATATATATATTAAAAAAAACTAGAGATAATTTATGATTTGTTTTTATGTCACTTATTATCAGAGAGTGATGAAAACAAGTGTATCATTTATTATTAGATATATAATATTATATTTATACTAAATTATATGCACACACAAAAAATAGCATACATTTAATAATAAACGATTCCTTAAGGACTAACTGACTGACTGTCTACTACTACTACTACTACTACTACTACAGTACATGTAGGCAACTGTAAGCAACGATATAAACATATTTTTATGGCTTTAATACTAAGCAAAAATATTTGAGTGAAAATAAAATAAAAAGTTTTTCTCAAATATCTCTGAAAAAACCACATACACATCAATGGTTTGCCATATATTATATAATATTGTGTGTGTGTGTGTGTGTTAGTTGTACTATGAATTTATGTATGGTTTAGATGTACATTACTATTACTTTTATATATATATCTATTGAATTATAGACAAACTGCTGGCCCAAGCAATCATAGTCATATATAGATACTGTATATATATGCACACACATGTAGTTATGTCGATATGTGGTTGTCAGCTCCCGACACACACACACACACACACACACACACACACATAGTATACATCAATTGATTTATTATTACTCACACCGTTAGACAATTAAATACTCGATTTATTGCTTAATAATCTCTTTTTTTTTTGCTCTCTCTCTCTCCTAACACTTCTAACACATTTAACACATAATAATAATAATCAAAACATTTCTCACAAAACATAACAAGAAATAGTTGTCAAATAATTTTTTTTATCATATATTACTAATTTTTTTAGTTATATATATATTTATTTTGGTGGGAAAAATACCTGTAAATTCCGGCTGAACTCAAGTTAATGTTTTTCAAGAAGACTGTGTGTGGACCAGATCGGGACAGATCTACTCGGATGCCGGGCATCGGTAGATATTGAGCTAAATTTTGGGTATTATTAGTATTATAGTTATTATTATTATGATATATAATTTTAAGGAAAAAAAATCAATTGATGATTGAAAAAACCTGGAGGAAAATCTGCCGGAACGTAACGATAAAATTCCTCATCATTTTTGTACCTATTTTTTTATTTTTTATAAAAAATTTTAGTGATAAATAATTTTAAATAATTATATATTTTTTATTTTTTTAAATATAATAATATTTATACCATTTAACTGAATATAGTTTTTCATTGTCTAATTCAAAACTACATGTCATCTCAATGCTCTCACCCGCCTGTGTCTGATCCGGTACATCGATGGCTTCAAGACTATTATTATATGAAAATTAAATATTTAAAAAAATAATGTGAAAATAGTATTCAAAAAAAATAATTTAATTAAATTGAAATAAATTAGTATTAAATTTAAATTTATTATATTAAATAATTGTGTTATTTATTTTATTTATTTATTTTTTTTAATAATTAAATACTTGATTAGATTATATGCAAAAAAAAATAACTTTAACAAAGTACTGGTTTCTATAAGTGTATAATAAATTGTGTTATTTTTTTGTTTAGTTTTTTTTGTTGTTGTTGTTATGTGTGTGAGTCTCTCAGCAGTCATTGAGAAATGGCTTTTAAATTGGATGTTAAAAAAATTGTTTGCATAGAATATTCCGTGTCTTTTCTAAAAAAAATATAACTAATTTTATTTTAGTTTTTAAAAAAAACTTAAATTTAATTTTTCAAACACATAGACACTAACACTAATGTATTTAAATAAAAAAAAATAATTTTATCTCATTTAATACAAGTATAATACATATCATCTTTTTAATAAAAGATGTAATTGAATAACATTTTTTATTTTATTTTTCTGAATATAAAAAAACTTAAACTCACAATAGACTATATATATATACATATAAATATATATATATTTTTTAAAACAACTTTTTAATTCATAGGCTTTTAGTGCTAAAAGATTTGTCAAAACAGTGAGTAGAAAGTATAGTATAAATAGTTGTAATAATAATAATAACGATAATAAGTTTTGTTGTTATGATTCAATGAAAATATAATTATTATGCATTTATAATTGTATGTCTAACTGTAACACACAATTACAATTATTGTACTATACTTATGTTAAACTATGATATATACTTTACATACAAACAAAAAAAAACAAGATATATATATATACAGTAATAAAATATATACAATAGATGTATATATATATATATCACTGACTTTCACTTTTATTTTTTCTCGCATACAAATTGTTAATAACAAATGAGAGACACTAAACTATGATTTTTTTGTTTAAAAATTCAAAACTTGTACACAAATTAATAGTGCAATGAGAGCGTGAATTTTAATTATAAACAAACCATTGAATACTAAAATCAAAGTCAGATTGACTGACAATAATATACAGTACAGTACTCTATATAATAATATAACAGTTAGTATTAAAAATATTATAGTTGCTATACTTTGATTAAAGTTTGTGTGTGTGTGTGTGTGTGTGTGTGTGTGTATGTGTGTGTGTGTATGTGTGTGTGTGTATGTGGTGTAAGTGTATAGTATTGAATAACAAATAATTTTTAATGTACTGTATTTTTCTATATGATATATTTCAAACAATTTTATTTAATTGTATATATATACTGTAATATACTGTACAATGTTATACTAATACAGTATATTTTTCACTTAAATTAGTAATTTTTGTAAATATACTGTAATTAATTGTATGATATATTGTTTTAGCTGACAATTGGTTTTTAGTTGTTACCAACTATTCAGATAAATAATAATAATAATAATAATTAATCATTATTTAACATTTTAACACTTGATTTAATTAATATAATAATAATAATACTGTTATTACTATTATTAAGGCACCGTTAGATAATCTTTGGGGTAAACCATATGGTTGTTCTTACTTTGTATTATAATATTATATAATGTATTGTCCATACAGTTAGCACTTATATGTTATGTATTGAATGTCATATTATCTAAAAATGTTTGGTATATTACTGTATATATACAGTATATATATATGACTAATACACGCATCTGTCAACTAATATGTTTGCTTGTATTATACAAATATACTATTAATATATATTCATAAAACTTATTAATGAAATTTAAACATTACTTTTACGAATACAATATAAATTTGTATAATTAGTTAGTTTGTACTGTATATTGTATATTAAAAATTTGTTTCATAAAATAATAATAATAATAATATGATAAAATAAAGTATAAAATAATTTTAAATAATTGCTAATAAAAATAACAGAAATAATCATAAAATCAGTGAAAAATAGATTAATCAAAATTTTTCGGTAAAATTTTTTGGTTATTAAAACGTGAAAAATTGTGTTTTATATATAAATATATATTTTATTTATTTATTTTTGTTTGTTTGTTTGTTTGCAGATTACAGATAAGATAATCCCTTAAATGTAGACAAATATTGAATTTATTTTAATATCATAATATGTTTTGAACACATTATTTAGGTTAAAACCAAAAAACAATATAGATTATGCAAATTTATAAATTCAATATTAATTTTTGTATATACTGTATATATTAATAAATATTATATATTTATAGGGACAGACCTATTAAATAAAAATATTATAAATACATACCGAAGCGAGTGTATGGAGTGATGAACTATTGGAAATAAAGAGAGAGAGAGAGAGAGAGAGAGAGAAAAAAAAATTATATATTATATTATTAAAGTATATTAAGATATTATTAAACTATATATATGTTGTGTTTTGTTGATATAAATATATAATTGCATAAATTAAAATAAATCAAAAACATATTTAAATTTGTTAAATTTCTTTTTTTTTGTCATTCATCTATTAATATATATGTTAAACAAACATAAAACCGACGATAAAACTGTAAAACTGAATGCTTTGTGTATGCGATCAAAGTTTTACAAAACATTTCAATTAAATTTTTATATCTTTTTGCTTTAATTGATTCATTTGAATGC